CCATGAATAATGGCCGGTCCCTTAGGTTTGTTTGAACACATGTTGGAAGATGTTACACTAATACCATAAAACAAATAAACTATATTTGACTAGGCAGGTAACTATTGTCATAGTACCGACACCAGATGAACTATCACATTGGAGAATACTCGGTATCTCAGTGAAAGTACGCACGAAAACGAGGCTAAAGGGTCAAAAAACACAAAACATGACCCTATAGCCTCGTCTCCATGTCAAAATAATGCAGATACCGCTGGTCCGTAGCATAGACGTATTCAATTACAATAACAGCTATTAAACAATACTCTGTGAAATGCACAGGTGTCGAGTATCTGTGTTTGCGCGTTCTACAACTGACTGAATGGCCGCAAATAAGCTATTCAAGCGTCAGTCAAAAAACGCAGACAGTGATGTAGTACATGCCGATTTCCTAACCCCTTAAAGCGGCAATGTCACCCGCTGCGCATCCGTTCTGCGCATAGATCAACTTGAAAAAGTTCACCCAACTTTTTCAAGGCATAGTACAAAACATGGACTGGACTGGACTGGACAGTTGGACTGGACTGGACAGTTGGACTGGACAGTTGAACTGGACTGGACAGTTGGACTGGACTGGACTGATTTTTACATTTTCTCTATTCTTGACTTGCACGCAGGGCCGTAGCGAGGGGGGGTATTGGGGGGGTGGTTAACCCCCCCAACTTTTGACATATTCGGAAAATGGGATGGCCATTCGGAAAATTACGGCAATTATAGTATATGGTTTTTGTACGAAAATCATGAGATTCAGGCAATTTTTAGCTGATATCTAACTTTTGGTATGTCCGGAAAAATTTTTTGACCCTTAAAATGGTACACTGACCGAAATTTTTTTGGCGACGGGGGGGGGGGAGGTCGCCAAGAATTTTCGAAAGTTCGGAAATTTTCTTCGTCATTCGGAAATTTTTGGCCTACACCCCCCCAACTATAAATGCTAGCTACGGCACTGCTTGCACGTCACCCGCCATGTCAGGTGGCATGGCACAAAAGAATATTTTATCACAGAATAGATATACTGTGTCAAGTATTTTGTGATTTTATCAATGAACATTGTCTGGTGTGTACCAGGAGGAGATTGGTTGCAAGTCAAGAATATAACGTTTTGCACCTGAATTACTTTTGATTTTCGGAAATTGAAATACTTTACCTTCGCCGATGGCCTCACTTTATAACTGGAGTGAAATCTCTTAAAGCGAAAGAAACCCCAGTAAGTAGAATAGAATACAATACCAAACATAAACTACTTATCTGTCTTTGCTATGGGTAGCCTGCTCGCATACGTATTAAATTTCGATATTTCAGTCTGCATGGCCATGGGCATAGAAAGATAGATAATTGGCAGGGGGGGGCAGGAGCTCATATTCATATATTTGTGGTCTGCATCATTAACTTCTTTTGAATTTGATTGTTTTTACAGTCTGCGAACATGAATATATGAATATGAGCCCCCCCCCACAAGATCTTCTTACGATCATGGCAATACGTATCCGAGCAGGCTACAAAGTAGTTTATGTTTGGTATTGTATTCTATTCTTCTTAGGGGCCGACCATTAACTTTTGAGGGGGATGGGGGAGGGGGTGATTTCCTGCAAGGCTATTCTGAACAAAAGAAAATGCCTGCACTAACAAACTGGGGGAAAAAATATCCTGCCCCAGTATTTGGTGGGGGAAAAAATGTTGCAAAATAACATGGTTGCAGGGATCGATTTGACCAGTCCCAGAAGATCAGCTGGTTTGATTTTCGGAGACTATAGTGTAAGGTTAATTTCTTGTTGGAAAACTCTTGAAAATGCTGGAAATAGCTTATCTGAGCTTCACAAAATCCACAATTTTCTGGGGGGGGGCATGCCCCCAGACTCCTGTAGAGGCTTGCACCTTCGGTGGTCGACTCGGTTGTCTCAGAATCCTAGTTAATATTGGCCTGATCTGCTGCCCTATGATGTATACTTATTAGTTAAACCATGCATATATATATATATGCTGGTAGCTGCAGTGATACAGACTTGCCGACTGGAACTTCTCCAGGTCCCCACTAAATATGTCCCCTCCAGTTACACATCCGTAAAGAGGCCCTGAACCAAATCTTATACCTCATAGCAATATGTATTATTAAAAGCAATGCATGAAGCTAGAAAACGCAACGTTAACTATTATTAATTAAAAAATCTAAATAGTATAAGCTATTGAAAAAAAAATGCTGCGAAAGAGAGAGTGGCAAAAAATATCGTACATGGTGATGGGATAGGGGAAAAAAATCTTGCACATAACGATCCCAGATCAAGAAAAAAATTCCCTTCCAGCAGTAAATCTCCAACCCCTCCCCCCCCCTCAAAAGTTAAATGGTCGGCCCCTTACTGGGGTTTCTTGAGATTTCACTCCAGTTATAAAGTGAGGTCATCGGCGAAGGTAAAGTATTTCAATTTCCGAAAATCAAAAGTAATTCAGGTGCAAAACGTTATATTCTTGACTTGAAACCAATCTCCTCCTGGTACACACCATGGTATATTTATTCTGTGATAAAATATTCTTTTGTGCCATGGCACCTGACATGGCGGGTGATGTGCAAGTCAAGAATAGAGAAAATGTAAAAATCAGTCCAGTCCGGTCCAACTGTCCAGTCCGGTCCAACTGTCCAGTCTGGTCCAACTGTCCAGTCCAGTCCAACTGTCCAGTCCAGTCATAGCCAGTCCAGTCCATGTTTATTGCCAAATGCTTCTAAAGCAGCGGCTACACATATTTATGTTTATTCAGGCCAAAAAAAAAATGTGGGTTTCCGGTTTCCCGACCCTACAGTACCTAGCTTTTGGACGTCGAAATCCCAACCCTAAACTTTTTTATTGGATCATGCTTGTAAGTGTTTCCACTTAGAGGAAAAAGTTTGTGGAAAATTGAAATTTGAGGCAATATTAGGCAAATTTATCTTTGGATGTGGAAGCACTGACTAAACAAAATGGCGTCCGGTTGTTCGGAAAATTAAAAAAAAAGTTTAAAAAAAAAGTTAAAACCGACCTACCCTACCTAAGTTTTTATAAGAAGAAACCGGAAACCCACATATTTTTTTTGCCTCAATCTTCCTAACTTGTAAAATCATTTCCATCGCTTTTCCTTGAAGAATTAGAACAACTTAAGGCCAATGAAAATTGATATCATGTTTCTCGTCCACAATTTTCAAAAATTTGGGGCGGGATTTTTTCATTTTTACATTTTTCATTATTTTTTGTATTTGAATTGCTTGTCAATAATTTCCTTGAACCAGTAAAAACCCCCATAAAAATCTGAAGTAAATCGGTGTATAATTCATTTTAATTTAATACGTCCTACACTAGGCCTACAGTATATTTCTATACATACCAGGGCTGACATGAAAAATAGAGGCATTCTGGCGAGTAATATCTTTAGAAAGATACAATTTGAGTTGCGCTTGCGGAATGCAGCAATAAGTCTTTTGATCTGGAGATCAATTTGGTATTTTGTTAGGCCTATTTTTCAAAAATAATGAATAATGAAAAATTTTCGTGCGGCAGATAAATCCCATGCGCGCGGGGACGAGAAACATGATATCAATTTTCATTGGCCTAATGTAAACAAAAGCACTTTCTCCGCACTCGTGAGTCGATCTGCCCTGGAACCAAACAGTTAAAATTTGAATTTTTCAAACTTCGTAACCGCACCTCTCGTTAAAATATTTCTTCTCAACCAGACCTGTCGACTCTCCCGGTTCCCCCCGGGAGACTCCCAGTTTTGACCTTTTTCTCCCGGTCTCCCGATTCAAATATCTGGCAAGAAATAGTAATCGTGTGAAAATCACTCGTATCCAAGCTGAAACTTACTCCATCAACTACAAGTGTTCGTCCAAAAAAATTTCGGTCAATGTACCATTTTAGGGGTAAAAAATTTTTTCCGGACATACCAAAATTTTTCGCCACATAAAAACATTTTTTCCGCTCATCCCAAATTTTCTTCATTTATCAAATAAATTTCTCTAAAATTCCGAAATTTTCTAAATTTTTTGTAAATATACCTCATTTTTTGTAAATTAACCAAATTTTTTGTAAATTAACTTTCCCTTGTCCTTTTTTGTTTGTGGGAAAAAGCGGGAGGATTTTTCAAAATGCGGGAGGAAAAGTCAATGCGGGAAATTTGCGGGGAAAGTGATCAAATGCGGGAGCCTCGTGCAGGATGCGGGAGGGTTGGCAACTATGTTAACGTATTAAATTAAATAAGTTGTTGAAGCAAATGCAATTATAATGATTATAAAGCCGGGAAAATTATTAGAATTTGTTACTGTTTTGAACACTGCATATGATCTCTCTCTTTTAAAATTTTAAGGTTGACAGGTCTACCTCAACCCTCCTGATCTATTAACGTGCAAAATATAATAAAATTAAAAAATAAATAAATACCCACACAGAGCCTGGGCCACCTGTGCATTCAGCAGCAAACATTCTCATGCAACCACAGAGAAGAGATGTACAGAGAGGAAACACGCGCCAAATTATGTCACACCGATATATTAAGTCTATTAACTATAGAAAATTATATATTAATTCACTATTTTATCAAATTTTGATAATGCAGAGGAATAAAACTATACGTTTTAGAAGTATTCGTGTGTTTTTTTATTCAAGAGTTATATTTTGAGGAATTTATATCATTCGCTGCTTTGTTTTTTATACATGAGCATCTGAAATTCCCAGCCAGTGCATTTCACGATTTTAATAAGGAGTAGATAGGGAAAAAACAAACTTTTGCCAAATAAAATGTTGTGCTAACACTTTTAATGAAAGGAAATCAATAAAAGTGATCGCTTACCGTTATTCTACAATATATAATTTATTGAACAAAATTTCCATGGGTATCTTGTACCGACCCGTAACTCGGCACACACTCACACACAAGTAAAAAATGATATAATAAATAAGAACAAAGTAAAATAAAATACAAAATTTCGACTGAACTCTCTCGTCTCAAACGTTTGTTGTTCGTATTCGCTCACATGTTCTCGTGTCCTTTTCCCCTCCCCCCGGTACTGTCAATCATCCTGCCCGCGAATAGGCGGGATACCTAAATTTGGGTCACTCCCCTTAAAATTACGTGTAACTTAATTTTAACTCAACGAAATGTACAATGAAATAGTTTCTCCAGTCAGTCCTCATCAGCAAGCCAGTGTCGAATTCTTTCCTTCACTTTCTCTGCTGCACGCCTTGGTGGTCTCTCCTGTTTCTCCTCAACTTCTGGCGTTGGTGCTTTCGGCTCTTCTACTTCGCTGCTACGTATCTCTAGAGGGCAAACTAATTGAATAGGTCGCTCAATCTCGTGGCCCTTATGCCGAAGTACAACTCCTCGCACAACTCCGTCCTTTCCCAATATAAGTCGCAATACTTTGCCTTTCTTCCAAAGCCCACGGTTCTTTTCTTCCCCGAGTACTAATACGATCTCCCCGACTTTCGGCAGTTGTCCGTCACCTTTGACTATGCGATGAGATTCCATAAGGCTGTGTATGTATTCTTTGTGCCAACGGTTCCATGCGTGTTGTCTGGCGGCGTTGAGACGTCTCTGCATCTTCGTAACTTCACTTTCGTCTTGTTCTCGGTCTTCCAAAATATGTGAATCGTCGCCCCATAAAATGGTGTTGGGTGTCAGGACTTGAGGCTCCCCTCCGTCACTTTCGATGTAGGTTAGTGGGCGGTTGTTTAAATGGCGTTCAATGTCCATTACCACTGCGATAAGTTGATCTAACGTAAGATGGGTCTTGCCTAGTGTCTTATACAACGTCTTCTTCACTTCCTTTATTAGCCTTTCGTACATCCCTCCCCACCAAGGGGATTTTGCTAAATTGAACTGCCATGTTATTCTTTGTTTCGCCAAGAAATCTTGTAGTGCTTCGCTTTTCCGGATCTTTTTTATCCACTGGGCTGTAGCTTTAAAGACTGCTGCGTTGTCCGATATGATGCGTTGTGGTCTCGTCTTCCGACATATGAAGGCGTTTAACTTGTCTTGGAATTCTTCCGCTGTCTGTGACTTCGTGACTTCCAAATGAACAGCTCGCGTGACTGAACAGGTGAAAATAAGAATAGATGCTTTGCCTTCTTTATTCTTGTTGACTTTGTAAACCAGCGGCCCGGCGAAATCGACACCCGTGGTTTGAAAGGGCTTGCTCGCTTCCGTGCGAAACTGTGGTAGAGGTGATGTGTCTGTCTTACCGTATGGCTTTGTTGAGAAAACTTTACAGGTATGGCAACAATTTATTGTTTTCTTTACTAATGATCTCAACCGAGGAACCCACCATTCCTCTCGAATAACACCCATGGTACTAGCAATTCCCAAATGCAATGTCTGTTCGTGAATATGGCGAATCAGTTTTTCAACAAACAATCCGTTTTCTAGGTAAATTGGTGAATAACCTTGAATCCTTCCAACACATTTCAGGATCTTCGTTTCCTCGTCTTTCTCCAGCCTCCAACCGCTACTCTCTGTGTCTTCTGGAATGTGTCCTTGTACTTTCCTTATCCAGACGTCTCTGGAGTGTGTTATCTCGTTCGTAGTTAACGGGCCCTTTATTATTTCTGTCCCCATCTTTTTTGCTCGACTGTTATGGACAAATCGTAATGCCCAAGCGGTAATTCTTAGAGTGTTCCAATAAGGTTTACGCCTTAGCAAGAGATCCCACTCGTCTTGTTGGTTTTCATTGACGAATGCAACTATTTCCTTGATTGGTTTCGCTTCATCTGTCACCGAGGACGAGCGATGCAACGTCGGCTGGGAAGGCCAATCATGTTCGTTCAGCAGCCACTCCGGACCGTCGAACCAATCTTTGTTCTCCATTTGGTTGAGCGTAGCTCCTCGGCTTCCCGCGTCGGCAACATTCTTCTCTGACGGCACATACTTCCATTGAATCCCGATTTCCTCCGTTATTTCCGCGATCTTTTTCACCCTGTTTGCGACAAACACCTTCCATGATTTTCCAGGGCTTGAAATCCAGTAGAGAGCGACCAGGCTGTTCATCCAGATGGTAACTGATCTGACGGGCAGTCTCTTCAGAGCATTAACAAGATTCCTCGCTAAATTTGCTGCCATCTGACCACTTACTAGCTCCAAGCGTGCGATGGATGTGTTACGCTTACAGATTCGAGATTTTGATGTTAGAAACCCTTTCACTGTTCCCGTATCGTGTTCGACAATAGCAATGGTCATTGCAGAGCAAGCCAAATTGCTCGCGTCAGCAAAGAGATGTAAGTGAACAGCCTTCACTTTCCTGCATTCTCGAATCACGCTCCTCGGTATTCGTACGTTGCGAAGTTGTCTAGTCCATTTTAACCAATCCTTGGCTAGCACCGCAGACACTTCTGAATCCCAGTTTTGATTTTCATCACATGCTTCGCGATAAATGTGTTTACCTTCCACAACTGTTGGGGATATAATTCCGAGCGGATCGTAAATACCAGCCAAATGACTCAAAATAGATTTCTTTGTAATTCGCTGTCCGTTATCTCGTTCAGGAACTTGGATCTCTAATACGTCATCTTGTTTATGCCATGTCAAACCCAGTATCTTTCCAGGATCGGGCATGTCCGCACTCTCT